GTGTCCCTGATCCGCGTTGCCTAGATTCACTCGCCTGAGACAAACTGACCCCTCCCACAGACTTACTAGTTATCGGCAGGTCTCCTTTCAGTAGAATATTGTTAGAAGTTCCTAAGCAGGTCCCATGCAAATGTATTTATGTGTCTCTCTGATCCCGTTACTGTGGAGGTACAGAAAATGCTGCCTGCTAGCTGGCTGCCATGTTGGAACCCAGAGTTTGGAAATTTAGGAGAATTCTTCTGTAATACAGGAGAGTTTTAACACCCTGGCAAGGACTTTGTTAAGACAATATTCACATTTTTAAAAGCAACTCTCGGAAGCTTGGAGAAAAGAATGATCCACATTATGTAAAGGAGAAATGCTACCTCTGCAACTGCAGACTGTAGAAAAATCGAGCAAAGCTTTATAGAAGCTGGGCGTAGTGTCACACACCTGTTATCCCAGCAGCTCTGGAGGCTGAGGCAGGAAGATCTCCAGTTCAAAGCCAGCCTCAGCTAATTAGAGAGGCCCTAAGCAACTCAGGGAGGCCCTGACTCTAAATAAAATACAACAAAAAAGGGGCTGGCGATGTGTCTCTGTGTTTAAGTACACCTGAGTTCAACCCTCAGTACAAAAAAAAAATTAGAGAAAGGGTATTATATGGTTGATCTACTAGCTAAAGTAGTAAAATGCACCAGCTACTACCATGTCTACCAGAACTTAGAGGGACATTGCAAATAAGAGCAATACGAATGCACTTGGAACATGACTGTATGACCAATGTGATTCTGCAACCTGTACACTCAATAAAATGAGAAATTATATCCCATCTGATACAAATGTATAATATGTGAAGATCATAGGACTATCATGTGTAACTAATTAAAACATTTTTTTTTTAAAAAGGAATGCACTTGGACATACCCAGTATCATTGTTAAGCTCCAAGGGGAACAGGGTGATGGAAGGAGATGGCATTTGAGATCTGGACTCCTTGTCAACCAAGTTAATAAATAGAACTGAGAGACTAGAAATAGAAATTAATGATGGTCAGATCATACCTGAAAGTCAAACTCAAACACACATCTCCAGCAACTATCCTAGAAGATAAATCATTACCTCTAGAGTAAGACCCCAAAATGGCCAGAACTTGATCATTAACTGTCAAATTCCCTAATCTTCTCTCCCAATTCCAACACAGGACCAACCAGAGAACACTCAATATGCTGTTCCTAAGAGATGGAAAACCAGGGCAATCACTTAGAATGTCCACTTCTATTATCCCACCTCCAGCTTCCCCATACCAAAAACTTTCAATCAGACACACCTGAACCCTTACCTTTGTCCACTGCAAACCTCTCCTGACCTCCTGGCTGTTTTTAAATCTCCGGAAAAAGCAAATGATGATCAATGTTTACAGAAGCTCAATACACAATAGCTAAGCTATGGAACCAACCTAGAAGACCTTCAACAGATGAATGGATAAAGAAAATGTGGTACCTACACACAATGGAATATTACTCACCCATAAAGAACAAGGAAATTATGGCATTTGCCAGAAAATTAGTGGAACTGGAGACGATCATGCTAGGTGAAATAAGCCAATCCCCAAAACCAAAGGCCAAATGTTCTCTCTGATGTGGGGATGCTGACTCACAATAAGTGGAGTGAAGGGTGGAGGTTCACTGGATTGGATGGAAAGAATGAGGGGAATGGAGGGGAGTTGGGAATAGAAACAAAATTAGAATGAACCCCAAATAACTTTCCTGTGTTTATGTATAAATACACAACCAGTGTGAACTCCACATCATGTACAACCACAAAAGTGGGAAGTTATACCCAATGTATGTATGATGTCAAAATACATTCTACTGTCATGTATAACTGAAAAGAGCAAATAAAAAAAATTAAAGCAAATGGTGTAGGCTGACTCCCTTGCTATAGCAAGACCTGAATAAATAGCTGATATTTGTTTCCATTTGGATGGGGTTCCTTAATTTTCTGTCTTCCCGAAGGCCCCGTTGAATCAGGGTCTACCCAGCCCAATACACTAGATCAGCACGGGGTCTAAACTTTCTCTTTGAGTTCCTCATTTGTTTATTCTCAGTTCAAAACTCACGTTTTGTTATCACTTCCATTTGTTTGCCATCTTGATGGAATCAAGCCATTCCTTTTCATCTCGTTTTGCTTTTTTTTTGTGTTTTCATGTTGCATTGTACAATCTAAAGTGTCAAGATGGCTAGAACCTCTTACACAAGGTGCACAGCACCATGTTTATTGATACTTGCCAGCTCTTAGAGAACTTTCTGAGTCTAAATGCTCTCCTCTTGCAGGAAAAATACCTGATTCTTATATGTGTCTCATTATAATCCTAAATCTTGTGTCTCTTTCTAAAAGGCACAATTTCACAAAGGATGATGTGGACCATCAGTGGCTAATGTGGGGAATGTTTGACTTGAACAAAATTTGAGAGACACCTTAGAAAAGGAAGAGAATAGGATTTCCTCAGATTCAGTGGGTACAACTTTTTTTGGGTACACCAAGAAGCCTCCAAACATCTTCCCATTCTCCCTCCTTCAGTACTTTCATCAATTCCTTTTTTCAATTCTTCTTGTCCAGGCTCCATCTTTTTCCCTTTTCTCTCACAAGAACCTAAAATGCCAATTGCTTCTAAAGATCCATCTGTTCCATGAATCAAGGATTCGGGTAACTGTAGAATTTAAACCTTGGAAATGGACTGAATTAAGAGCTAATGTGTCCCTTAATACAGACAATACCAGCAAAAATTCATGGAAGAAATTGGATTTCTTTAAAAGAATTTAGATTCCGTCATGGTATGCATGATCCTGAATCACCTGACTCACATCAGTTGATACACATGTTGGTCATAACCGCAGATGCTAAATCCTGGATAGCAAAAGCTGATTGGACTGACCCAGAAATGGATCTATGGGTCTCTCTTTCCATAATAAAACTGAGAGTCAAAAGAAAGAGCTGAGGGCTGGGGTTGTGGCTCAATAATGGAGCGCTAGCCTGGCACATGAGAAGCCCCAGGATCAATCCTCAGCACCACATAAAAATTAACAAATAAAGGTATTGTGTCCAACTAAATAAAAAACTATTTTAAAAAAAAGTTGAAGCCAGGTGTGGTGGCTCACACCTATATTCCTAGCTACTGGGGAGGCTGAGGCAAGAGGATCACAAGTTTGAAGTCAGCCTGGGCAATTTAGTGGGATGTGTCTCAAAATAAAAAATAAAAAGCGTAGGTATGTAGTTCAGTGGTAAAGCACCTCTGGATTTGATCCCCAGTATTTAAAAAAAAAAGTTGAAAAGTAGAGTCAAGTCTCTTAAAAGCCATATCACAAACATTTCCAACAAAAATTAATCCAAGTGCTAGTATTTCTATACGAAATGCTGCTACAGTTGTATAGCTTCCTTACTGGCAGAAATGCACTCTATGGTTGGAGAGTGTTTCAAATAATACACATATTCTCTCTATCCCTCAGCCTTTAACTGGAACCCTTGGGCCCTTGACTAAAAATATTCTTCCTGGCTCTATGATTACATGCCTGGGAATTAATAACAACATACAACAGAATGACTACAGTTAGTAATGTTCTATACACTTGAAAATGACTGAGACAGTAGATTTTAAGGGTTCTCACCACAAATAAGTATATGAAAGAGTGTATATTTTCAATAGCTTGACTCAGCCATTCTTCAGTATATACATGGTTCAAAATTTGTATGCCATAAACATGTACAAGTATCATCATCATCATAATCATCCTATTCATCATCAGGGATTGAACCTAGGGTTGCTTATCCATTGAGTCATATCCCCAACACATTTTATTTTTCATTTTGAAGGAAACTGGGAAGTTATTTAGTTGTGTAGATTGGTACCCTCTTCCCCAAACTGGAACTCGGTTAAAAGAAAAAGAAAGAAATAGAGATAGGATGATCAATGAACACTGTCTGCTTCAATTATCACTGGGCCTGAGAGTGGGTAACCATCACCAAACTTCTCCCCATGCCATCTCCCCAGGAACCATAATACATGGTCTCTGTATTAGCCTACTTTCTCTGGCTCTAACAAATTACCCAAAAATGGGTACTTTATTAAGAGATGAGGTTTGTTTAGCTCAGAGTTCAACATTTGGCAGCCCCTGTGACTAACCTTTGGTGAGAGTGCTCACAACATGGTGAATGGCATCATGGTGGGAGGACATGCAAGGGGTCAAGACTTCATTGGCAGAAACTGGGGAGGATGAGTCTTGTACTTTTTATAACAACCCTCTCTCACAAGAACTAATGGGGGCCAATAAGAAGTTCATTACTTCTTTCCAAGGGCCTCATCCCCAGTGGCACAGTTACCTCCCACTAGGCCCCACATCTTTCAGGTGCTACCAGCTCAACACTGCCACACCCAGGACCAAACCTCCAGCCTATTAACATTTGGGGGACAAACCACATCCTATCCTCACCAGCTCCAACAAAGCCACCATTGGAAAAGCAGGATGTCCCAGTCTACAGGTGTGTATGTGAGGGCAGGGGAGAATTGCTCTCAGAGGGCACTGGAAGCAGCCAGAGTCCCCATTCTGGAACCTCTCTGATGTCACACTTGTGTCATGCTACTCTGGGTGCCAACCCAAGAGAAGGAGCAGTTTTCTCTCATTTGTTTGAGAGCATGCATCAGAGCATGACTATCTCAAATGATTTATTGTCCCCACCCCCACCCCCAGCCAGATCCTGGCTATTCTCAACCCTTTGGGCTTGTTTGACTGTGACAGCACTGGTCTCTCTGAGCACAGTGTTCTTCACATTCCCGTGAGTCTCCATGCCAGCTGTCAGGTTTCTCACCAAGAGACAGTCAGGAAATAGACAGTGAGAGTGCAGAGGCAGGGAAGTGGAGGGAGCCCATGAGGGGAAGGAGGATATTTAGTTAGAAGCACAGAAACATGGGGAGCCTGAGGCTTTTAGAGAACCATGGGAGGCTGATAATGCTGGTGACATGTGGTGGAGGGAATTTGGTCTGTCTCTTGCCTGGATATTCAGATCTGCCCTTAAGGTGTGTGAGTCTGACCTCAGGTGAGCAGTGCCTCATTGGGGCTCTAGGTTGCCTCAGATTAAAACTGAGTCTGGCCCTGGTTTCAGATGCTGATCATTGGCCCAAAAAAGAGTGGGCTCTTCCAGTGGCCATGGTTCTTCTCTGCCTCCTCACTTTGTACATCCTCATTTGGATGAATTTACCGGAACCAGGAATCTTACACAGAGGTAAGGCCTCAGACCCGTGGGAGAGGGAGGTGGCACTCAATGGACTGGTGCCTACGGGGGTTATTTCTATAAGGCTGACCCCACCTGTGACCTCAGCATCCATTCTTATTCTGTCATCATTACTAGGGCCCTGACACTTCATTTCCCAAGCCACTGAAGTGTGAAAAAACAATCCTGGAGGTTTACCAGTTGCTTTAAAAAAGAGGCCTGGGCAGGTTGGCATGAGAGGCCACCAGGCTCTTCAAAAACCATGCAGTGCACTCCTCCTCCTTCCCATCTCACACAATTCCAAGAACTGATTACTATTCCAAAGGGGGGAGCAACATATAGAGCTTTGAGGCTGGACATCCCCTGCTCTTTGACTGCCGCCCATCTGAATGGTCAGCTTACTCAACAGGGACCAAAATTCCTCTGCCCACCTCCACCCCACCTACTTGTTGCCCAGTGATGCTATGGGGCTTCCCTGAGGAGTATAGTGATTCAAGGGCCTCTTCCATGTCCCAGACCTCTTTCCCTGCCAGGCACCTTCGAGCAGGACGCTGAGGCTTCCTACATGGCACAAGTGAATGGCAGGTTATACCAAATGCCGTGATGTCCCACCTGTTATTTTCACCGCCTGCCCTGAACCTTCCACTGCAAAAGCTGTGACATCTGTGTGGAGGTGAGTGCTCCTCCTCTCTGTCCACTCACAAACCTGTCCCTGGGCATCTGGCCAGGACCAGGAACTTCACATCACGAGTGGGCCAGGTGAGGGTATCAGACCATGTTCCCAGAGTATTTCAAATGGCTCTCAGCCACTGTTGGTCACTTATATATGTCATCACCTCTGTGTCTGTAGCTGTCCAGGGAGGCTGTCCTTGCTTGCACAGGTGCTGATATGCCAAAGAGGGGAGCTCATCTGTGCTGAGCCTGGTGGAGTCGGGGAGGAAAAGCAGTGACTGTCCCCTCCCCTGGCTTGCTGATACGAGATCCTCAGCCCTTTAAGCTGACTGCTGCCGTGTCCTGGGGATCTTTGCTTGTCTTGGTCTGGGTGTCCCAGTTGGAGGGTTTCCTGGATTCTGAGTGTGTTTCTCTGATGTGCCCATTCTACTCGGGTTCACAAATGCAGATGTCTGGATGGGCGAGGATGTTTTTTTCATCTTGATTCAGTGTCTGTAAAAACAGAGGTCCAGAGATGTTATATCCTGCTCCAAGTGACACCAGGCAGATCTTGTCTCTATAGACAGTTATAAATAGTTATAAATAAAACTGCTACAACAACAAAGCTTTGAACTTGCCACCCTCTTGCCTTTGCCTCCCAAGCCACTGAAACTATAGGCAGAGGCCACTATGCCCAGCCAGTTTTGGGCAGTTACAAATAAAGCTGCTACAATAACCATTGGT